AATATATAGAAGTGTCTTCTTTGACTAAGCATTTTAACTGATTGCTTTGATTACTTGAAATTCTTAACCGAGATGAATTACTCCGGTTGAAAGAGTTGGTTGTTTGTGCAACTCAGAGATCCCAACCAAGATGAATTACTCCGGTTGAAGGAGTTGGTGGTTTGTCCAACTCAAAGATTCCAACCGAGATGCGTTACTCCGGCTGAAGGAGTTGGTGGTTTGTCCAACTCAGAGATCCCAACCGAGATGAATTACTCCGGTTGAAGGAGTTGGTGGTTTGTCCAACTCAGAGATTCCAACCGACATGAGTTACTCCGGCTGAAGGAGTTGGTGGTTTGTCCAACTCAGAGATCCCAATCGAGATGAATTACTCCGGTTGAAGGAGTTGGTGGTTTGTCCAACTCAGAGATCCGTCCAACTCAGAGATCCCAACCGAGATGAGTTACTCCGGCTGAAGGAGTTGGTGGTTTGTCCAACTCAGAGATCCCAACCAAGATGAGTTACTCCGGTTGAAGGAGTTAGTGGTTTGTCCAACTCAGAGATCCCAACCGAGATGAGTTACTCTAGTTGAAAGAGTTAGTGGTTTGTCCAACTCAGAGATTCTAACCGAGATGAGTTACTCCGGTTGAAGGAGTTGGTGGTTTGTTCAATTCTCAGAATTAAAACCGAGATGGTGTATTCCGATTATACAAGATGTTGAAAGAATTCGTGATTTGTTCAACTGTTGTTCCTACCGAGATGTTTATTCCGGTTGAAGAACCTCAATTTCATTAAATTTACCGAGATGTTAACTCCGATCCAGCTAGTTGATGATTTGTTCAACTTCATAATTTAAACCGAGATGTTTTGCTGAAAATAGAGTTCGAGAAAACCGTGCAAACACTTGATGAAATTGAAGCTTTTCATTGATAAAAAAGTTAATACAAAAGGTGGGGAACTTAGCCCGGTTACATTTGCAGATAGAAAAAAGATAACTAAACTAAAGGGGAGAGGTCTGAGAATTTCTTCTCAGCTTCCAGGTTGACCGTTGCTGTCTGGTCCTGGACACCGGTCAAAGTCTGGCCGGTCTGCCCCTGCTCGGTTTGGTCATCTCCCTCAGCGTCTGCCTCGACTTCTTCGAGTCCTTCCTTGGCCTCGGCCTGCAGCGCGCTGAAGACGTCATTGGCATATGGAATGAGGTAGGTCGGTAAGAAGACAGCCGGTGGAGAGGCAAACACGTCAGTGTCAGGAGCTTGACCGAGCTGTTGACAGGCAGCCTTCCATCCAGCTTTGAAATATATGTCCTGGGTGGCGAAGACTTGTTTTTTATAGTTGTCTTCCGCTTCTTTGAAGCCAGCATTGTTGGCGTCTTCACAATCCTTCTCCCTGGACTTCTTGAGCGTGTCCAGCTCGGCCTGGCGCTCGTCCTTCTTTTTCTCGGCATCATCAAGTTGGCCGAGCAACCGGTTGTTATCGGCGTTGGAGATTTCAAGTGAGGACTTTGCTCGGCCAAGCTCGGTTTGGAGGCTTTGGACTTGGCTGGCAGTGTCGGCTGCCTTTTGCCGAAGTCGGTGGATGCGCTCCATAACCAGATGCTGCTTTTGGATGGCCTACGAGGGGAAAACTGGATCAAATTAGAAATCGTGCAAACACTTACTAAAAATTTCAGCAAAGGATTGAGACTTACCCTGGCCATGGACTTGACTGAAAACTTCACAAGCCGAGTGTCAGGAACGTGGTCGCTGCCAACCACGTCGCTCGGCAGGAGAAGGGCTTTGGAGAGATCAAAGGCAAGAAGATGTTCTTTGTCTCCCTTGATGGAAGCCGTTGCCGAGATCTCCTTTCCCCGGTGCTTGAGCTGCGGTCTCCATGCCGGCGTTGGGTCAGCTGTGACGGTTGGTTGCTCGATGGATAGTTCGGTAATTAGCTCAGCAAACGGGTCCGCGCGAGCTCTTTTACCAGCCCGGTGTGTTGCTTGGCTTGACTCCCCAGCAGCTTGAGAAGCAAGGGCGACCACGACGCCCCTTGATTGACCGGCGGCTGGAGAGCGGGTGACGATGCTCGGTATCTCGACAGACGTTGTGGTGAGCAGGTTTTTGATTCGGCTTCGTTTGGCCATCTCTTGCTCTTCTGTCAACCGGATTAGTGGAACGTCTGGCAAAGTTGGATCTGGAGGAGGTGATGGAGCACGGAGGAAGTCTGTAACTTTACTCCGGCGTGGAGCGGAGTATCTGTAGGTGGGAGTGTAGCCGAGCAGCTCGTTGCAATCTCGATGGCGATGGCGGAGCACGGTCCGAATTGCCTCTACGTTGAGAAATTGGTAGTTGGCCTGCAAGGCTTGGATTGCTGCAAAAAAAACAAGAAACTGGTTAATTGCAGAATAAAGAGGTAGGCTGATCGAGCAAGTTTGAGCGGCTTACATGAGGAACCAAAGTTCTTGCTTATAAACCAGCCCGGTACCTCAGCTGTTTCGTAATTGCCCGACACCCAGAAAAAATCGTCGTCGTGCAAATCTTTATCCGGGGTGCCGGTTACAATTTTCTCCTTGCCCGGTCTGATTTTCAAGTAATAGGCTAGGTTGTCACCGGTGTGACCCATCGTGTATTGCCTCAATATCTCGGCTAGACCTAAGTTGGTGCCTAGCCGATTGTTCAGTTCATGGACGCCGTTGATAATTCGGTAAGTGTTGGTGGACACTTGTGTGGGTGCCAGCCCGGTGCGGCGGAGGAACTCTATGATAAGTGGATTGAGTGGGAAGCAGAGGCCTCCTTCGACGATCGACAGCACGGTAAAGGGGCATTGTTCTGTTCTGCCCCAAGGCGTGGTCTCTTCTTCTGCGAGCTCTAGGTGAACATCGGCCAGGATGCCGTACTCCTCCCTGAACGCAGCTAGGGCAGCCGGAGTATCTACGAGGAAGCGGAATTTCCCCATTTACAACCGGCTAAATTAGCTCGGCTTTGGTTTGGCACTGTCAGGTGATTTGTGGCTGCTTGGTCTTTGGGAGCCTCAGGATTGGACAGTGGTCCCCTTGGACTCTGCAGGAAAAGGAGGGCAAGTGTAAAAGGGAGCACGGTCGCGCAATGCGAGCTTGACTTTAGCTCGGTCGTCTAGAGTGCCAAACCACCTCGGTCGTAGAGGCTGACAAGGAGCTCGGCCGCCCAAGCAGACCAGATTTTAGCCCGGTAGAGCGGCCAAGACCTTTGTTATCCCGGTTCTTGCTATGGTTGTATCTAACAGGTTATTTGCTCGGTTGAGATGGTTTTTTTGGATCAAACGAAGACCTGGAGCCCGGTCCGCCCCAGTTCTTCAAAGTTCATCAGCGAAAATGAAGAACACCATGAACAGTGGGAGGTTTGGGACAATTTCTATGGCCTACGTCCTAAGAACTATGTTTTAGTGCCCTAATGTGTGAAATATTTAAGAAGATAGCAACAAAAGAGGAGTCAAAGGACTTACCAGTGAATGGCAGGGACTATTCCTTCGAGCACGAAGAATGGCAGACGAGGCTTGGAAAAAGGTGCTTGAGCTCTGAAGCGTCGGATTGCAGAGAGGCAGTAGGAACGAAATGAGGAAGAGGGGGCTTGTATGTATAGATGGAGAAACCACCAAGAATTCAAATTTTGGCGGACGGCTGGTTTAGCTGCTCGAGGTCCAATGGAAGCCTGCCACGTGTCCCCATTTATGACGACATCAGAACTGAAAGGACAGGTTGAAGAGTCGAGGAGACAACCGGGCAATTTTTGAAGAAGAGGACGTCTATCGAAGAGTATAACCGAGCAAGTTTGCAGACAGGAATGTCAACTAGCCCGGTTGCCATTTCGCATTCTGAGGATCGAGGAAGTGTTATCCCGGTCGAAATAAGTAATCCCAGTCACGCTTTTGCGGACGGAATTAAGGGGCAATTGAGAGGGAGATTTATGATTTGAGATTGGGCCGTGACGTAAGCCGGACAAATTTGGGCTGAGGTATTGGGCTCCAAGATCAGGCCGTGATATTGCTTGGTAATGGCAAAGCTCACGTGGAACCGAGCTTTATGATCTCGGTTCTGCGAAGGACGGACAGGCGGAGGAACAGCCCAGATGAGGCTCCTCGGCTCACGCGTTGCAAGGCTGTAATGCACGCACCTTAACCTGGTAGGAAGGCCGGCGCTTGGAGCTTGGCTGAGAAGGTTGTTGGCTGACCGACACGGCCAATCTTCAGCTCAGCTTCGCCGGAATACAGTTGAGCACGGCTGAAATTAGGCCCGGTAGTAGGAAACTATATCAACTGCATTTCGGCACGTTCAGTATGGCCGTTAATAGCCAAGATAATATTGCCCGGCTGCCGTGCTCCCAGCAGAGTGGGCTGGCAGTCGGGTTAGGTAATGTGTAGCAAGATTTGTGCTGACAGATGGGATAACAGAGCAACGTGTCGAGAGACCAGTAGGAGTAGATTTGGGGCGCAGAAGGATATATAGGCATGTTTGCGCCCTCCATACGTGATAGGAACATTTTTGTAAGGAAATTCTTACACTCTAACACTCCTCTCTCTCTCTCTCTCTATCCTAAGGTGTGTGCTAACTTGATCGTCAGAGGGTTTTTCCGGCCACACACCGCCGGGTAGCTCACCGTTATTTGCTCGCAGGTGATCGGACAGAAACGGAGCTCGGAAGAAAGGAGTACGGGCTTGCCAGAATATTTGCTCCCCGTACAGTTTGTAATGTGTGTTATGACATTTTGTAGTAAAGTTATGAATAACAAATTTATGATGTGCACTCTAAAGTTATGAATGATAATGTTATAATATTTTGTGATTTTTGTTATGACACTTTGAGATTTTATTATAACATTTTCCAGTTAAAAGAAGTTGAGACTTTTGTAATGCAAGATTGGAAGTAAAATGATATTATTTTAATACATTCGAACCACACAAATTTGAATTACCAAATATTTTTGTTATTTTAGATATAGACATAAATAGGAATACTGCGAGATTTCCCGTGAGAGTTCACAAGCCTATAAAGCAAGTAAGCCACCACCTTCTCAACATCAACATCATTCACGCATTTCTTCCCTCTAAATCTGCCCTCAACCCAAATCATTTTCAACACTCTCAAAACCCCTCTCTCTCTCTCTCTCTCTCTCTGCAAAAACTTCAAAACTTTTCTCTGATAATTTCCTTCTCTCTTCCGAGATTGATCCTTCCTTCTCCAACTGCTCTGTCTACTTCATTTCAGAGGAATTTCAGTGATATGGATATTTGATATTAATTAATTTTGACACCTGGGTTTTCCATTAGATCCCTCTCACCTTCCCAGATTCTGCTTTGTTTCCGTAATTTCCTTTCGTAGTTACTTGTACTAAATTTTGTTATATTCCAAAATTGTATATTGTATAACTTTGAATATGGGTATTCTCCCCCCATTTATTTGTAATATATTCAGGTGATCTATATTACTTTACTTATATTATAGGTCTGCAACATCTACTTTACTGGGATTAGCATCATCACCATTATTGATTTCTGGATCAGTTGTATTTCCTCTGTTAATCAACTCATTTGTAATGGATTCTTGCTGTGCAACCTTGAGAGCCAATACCCACTTGGCAAACCCAAGCAAATGTGGTCTGAGTCATGGTGATAATGGGTTTTGGGGGGAGAGGATGAGAGGGAGTCTCAACAAGAACAGTCGTCATTGGGTTAATCAGTTAGCAAAAGGCTTGAGATCTGAGAGAAAGGAGAGGAAGATCAGACCTAGCGTTTCTTGCTCTGTTATTACAACAGACAATGGCAAAGAGACTTTGGTGAGTGAGTCATTTCCATTCTTTGATCAATCTTAATAGTATCCAATTTTGGGAAGTAGATAGGTTTTTGCTTTATCACAATAGCATAATTTCTTGTGGGTTTGATGTGTTTTTGCTGTATGGATTTCAAATAAGAGGAAGGGTTGTCCGATTATGTCTTCACTCTTTAGTATACCCATTAAAATCTTGGTGATTTGAATTTCAATTGATATGTGTTTGTTGGATATATTAATCTCATTTTTGAGTTTTAATCTAATTTCAGACCATAGATGCACCCCGGTTTGAGAGACGAAGAGCGAACCCAAAAAATGTGGCTGCAATCATATTGGGTGGAGGAGCAGGGACTAAACTCTTTCCTCTTACAATTAAAACTGCAACACCAGCTGTAAGAAACTACTTCTGGTTTAATCAGCCTGATTATATGACATTATTATGACTTTTTGGTTGTGACAATTATGAAATCATATACATGTATGTTTGTGTTGAGTTAATTCATGATCATCAAGGTAGCTTGTGTAAATATTAGAGGTATAGCCTTCTTTTCTTTCTTTCTTTCTTTCTTTTTTTTTTTAAATTTATATATATATATATATATATATTTCTGTTGAACTTTCTGATATGAATGCAATGATCCTCAAAAGGTTGACCTTTAATTTCAAGTTGACGCCTCTAATAGGAGGATTTTTTGGTGGTGTTTCATTTTCTTTGTCTTCATTTTTCATGTTCTCAGAAACAAAATAACAAAAATTTCAAAAACATCCTTAGTTGTGCGTAATCAGTTTTCGAAAATTAGAAATTAAACTTTTAATGTTTTCTAAAATGTGGGTTCTTTTAGAAAATTTTCTCGAAAATAGTTCGCCAAACAAGTATAGTGATTCTCAAAAGAATGACCTTAAATAGTGAATATATTTTTCAGGAGATCTAGGGCGCGATCATGTGATTATTTGGGATATAATATGATCTATGTGCGAAAACAATTTTCAAAAATTTGAAAATAAGTTTTTTTTTAATGTTTTTTTAAAAAAGTGGGTTTATTTCAGAACATTTTCTCGAAAGTAGTTTTCGGAAACAAGTGTACTGATTCTCAGAAGGTTGAGCTTAAATAGTGAATATATTTTCCAAGAGATCTAGGGTGTGATCATGTGATTATTTGGGATATAAGATCTGTGCTTCAAGAATTTTCATGGTTATCTTATAGTCATGATTTGATTTTGGCATGTGAAGTTTCATACATTTATTGGAACAATAGTGATTGTAAGGTGGTCAAAGTAGCTCATTTGGCTTGTTGGAGAAAGTAGTCTTTTTTCCCAAGCTAAATTTTTTGTTATGGCTCACACTAATCCTCCAAATTTGACCTTAAATGGTTGATTTTTAAGAGATTTGGGATTTTATTATGCAATGAGATGTATAATCTACAGGTTCCACTTGGAGGATGCTATAGGCTTATAGACATACCGATGAGCAACTGCATCAACAGTGGCATAAGCAAGATTTTTGTACTGACCCAATTCAACTCTGCTTCCCTCAATCGACACCTTGCTCGTACATATTTTGGGAATGGTGTGAACTTCGGGGATGGATTCGTGGAGGTACAAACTACAAACCCTTAATTGAGATATTTTTTTATAGAAATGAAAATCTAGAAGTGATGCCTTTGAAGGTTGGTGATGATCTCGTTAGATAAAATAAGAAAAAGATCAAATGAATTCTACCTCAAGGCATGAATGAAGAAAATAGAAGTAAAAAAATATCACTGCAACATTATACATGTTGTGGCCTCGCCCTTTTTCATTAATTATTTTGTTACTAATCTACTTGCTAAACAGGTTCTGGCAGCCACTCAAACACCGGGGGAAGCAGGTATGAAGTGGTTCCAAGGGACTGCAGATGCTGTAAGGAAATTTATTTGGGTGTTTGAGGTGAGCTGAATAGATCAATTTTTGGTTTTTTTTTTTTTTTTTTTTTATGTTTTTACGCTTAGAAGTCTTCACAATTTTTTTTTTTTTTTTTTTTTTTTTGTGGGTAAATAGATACTATATTTAGAGGGACTAGGAAGTTATTTCATCATCTTTCCACCTTGATAGAGGAATCTGATGAATTTTATTTTTACTTGTAGGATGCCAAGAACAAGGATGTTGAGAATATACTGATTTTGTCGGGTGATCATCTATATCGTATGGACTATATGGACTTTTTGCAGGTACACACATTCACTGCCTTACTAGAATTAACAATTTTATTATTATTTTGAAAATCTTGCTAATTCTTTGTAATGCACTAACAGAATCACATCGACAGAAATGCTGATATTACAATTTCATGTGTACCAGTGGGGGATAGGTTAGTTGAGTCTTATGTTTATCCTTGATATGCTTCAAAATTAGACGTATCTTAGTCAATTTTTATATTTAGGGCCATTTTAAATGTTCAAACTTCTTTGTCTACCTCACAACTATTGGATTTCATCTGAAGTTCAGTTTCACTTAATTTTCCAGTCGTGCCTCGGATTATGGCTTGATGAAGTTTGACCACCATGGACGAATCATCCAATTTGCCGAAAAACCCAAGGGTGATGATCTGAAAGCAATGGTAACAATATTGATCCTTGAACCTATATTGTTTTGTGCACTTACTGCAATTAGTTGGATTGCCCAATTATGTTTAATCGAGTGTTGCTTAACTAAACCGTGCGCAACCTTCCGACGCAAATATTTGCAGTATCATTGGATTATTCTCTAAATATGTTGCAAATGATGAGGACTAGTTAATCCTACTATGTGCCTACCCTTTTTAAATGCTAGGCCATATGAACTTTTACAGAGAAAGGGGGGAAGGATGACCCCCACAGCATCTGTGTTAGCCGTCGGCTTAAAGTTGAGGGGTCATTGTCCTCATCAGGGTTAGTCAAGGGTTCCAAACCTTTCTCTAAACTACTAAGTAGCACAAACATGGACACGCGACACGAAACGGATAAGTCAACACATCGATTTTTCAAAAATTACAAGACAGGATACACTCGTTAAAAAATTTTATTTTATAAATTTATCATATATCAAATATATGAATAGTTTATTCCACACATACACACTTAAGACAAGTTGAGGAAGTGTCAGACATGCTTCTTAGGAATGTTTGCAGAGTGTCGTGTCCGACACGAGTGTCTAATATAACATGTCTCCTCCATAGAAGTGTCCTTGAAAATGAGATTTGTAGGAAAATGAGTGGTTTAGGGGTACCACAAATAGTCGGATCGTAAAACTTTCTCTCATGTCCCACTTCCTTCCTTTCCACACAAAATATTTTGCTTATCTAGATAATCTAAGCTCTGCTTCTCCCATTTTTAAGGCCATCATCGACAACAATTACAATCTCGGTCTAGCTGCAAAGGCTCTTGTTGGCTTGTATTTTACATACGTGCTTCATAGTCACAACTTTAATTACAAATGGGATTGAATAACTTTTACTGAACTGTGCTTCATGTTGGCTTATACAGGAAGTGGATACCACTCTCCTAGGGCTGTCTCAGCAAGACGCTGCAAATGCTCCTTACATTGCTTCAATGGGAGTCTACATGTTCAGGACCGATATCTTATTGAAGCTACTGAGGTGGAATTATCCTACATCCAATGACTTCGGATCTGAAATAATTCCTTCTGCTGTGATGGATCACAATGTCCAAGTAAGAAAATAAACTCTAGAAATTTGGATATCCGTCATTTAATCTAAATTATTCGAGGGAAGATGTGGTCTAGTGTTGATTACTCTTATCTTATCTTGTCAGGCATACATATTCAGAGACTACTGGGATGACATTGGAACAACAAAGTCTTTCTACGACGCTAACTTGGCCCTTACTGATGAGGTTGATATTATTATTTTCTGGTTTCATATCCCTTCTTGTTCTCCATTTTCAAAATTTATTCTAGTATTATATTTTCCCCAAAAGCTCCAGATGATAATTGACTTTTCGGAGACTTTCATCCTCTATGAAGTGATTCTAACACCCTAAAGCGACTTATCTCCAATGCAGTTTCCAAAATTTCAATTTTATGATCCAAAGACACCATTCTTCACATCTCCCCGATTCTTGCCACCAACCAAAATTGACAAATGCCAGGTACACTAGTACGCAATGTACTTTTTTTGCTTGTGGATCGTATGTAGTGTCTTTCTTTTTAGTTTCATTTGAGTTTTGCAGATTAAGGATTCAATAATCTCACACGGTTGTTTCTTGAGAGAATGTAGAGTTGAACACTCAATTGTGGGTGAACGCTCTCGTTTGGACTATGGTGTTGAGCTTAAGGTGAGAATGTCCCCAAATTCCTAGTTGTAGATAATAGTGCATTAGTGTTTCTCATGTTTGGCAATAGCTTTTTTTTTTTCCCAAATTTTTTTGTGTTTACTAATTTTTTTTCAAATTTGTGCCAATTTTTTTTTTTACTTTTCTAGTCCATCTAGTCTAGAAGAACCTGAATTTTTTTATTTTTTTATTTTTATTTTTTTTTTAACAAATACCAAAAAAATTCACTAAAAGTGAAAAGTCTAATTTTTCTTTTAGCTAAAAGTTAAAAGTTTTTAAAAAGTTTAAGATGAAAAAAGAGAAAAAGTCAAAACAAAAACTGCTAAAAAAGTAATTGCCAAACTAGATAATTGAATGCCCAAATGGTTTTACCTTCTTTGTAATTTCTTCTTGTAGGATACCTTGATGATGGGTGCAGACTATTACCAAACAGAACCTGAAATTGCAGCTTTGTTGGCTGAGGATAAGGTCCCAATTGGAATTGGAAGGAATACCAAAACCAGGTATATTCACATGGATACAAAGAAATTCATAAGCCTTAATGGGAGAATTAGGCTCTGCTTGGCTAAGGCTAAAAATGTTTTTATATCTTTTTTTTTTTTAATGAACTTTTTAAAATTTTTGTCAAAAGTTTTTTCCCCTTCAAATCTTTTGTGCCTAAAACAATTTAAAAAATTATTTTTTTTGTTTTTTTTTTTTTTTGAAAATTTTTTTTTCTTTCAAATTTTTAAGGCCTTTTAGCCGAGTAGGATATAAAAGTTATTTTTTAAAAAAATCACTAAAATTACAAAAAAGAAAAAAGTTAACAAAGTTGATTAAAAAAAAAGCATTCGAAACACCAGCCCTCACTAAATCAAGTCCCCACTGACTTCTCTGTCTCTCCTCTCTGTGGTTGTGATATGAAGAAATTGTATAATCGACAAGAAAAAAAAAAAAAATCTCTTAGACTTTGGATGTAAAAGTTTTGAACAAAAAGCATGCCTTTTTATTAGGTCTTTTTTTTTTTTTTTTTTGGCTTCCTCTTTGAGAAAATAGGTATTTGGGGATGAACTATGAACTATCTCAAGTTTATACATTTGTTTGAATTACATTTGACATGTTAGGGTGTTCAAGAAGCAGACAGATCAGAGGAAGGATTTTACATTCGATCTGGGATTACTATTATATTGGAGAAGGCCACAATCAATGATGGAACCATTATATAGATGGATGATGAATCTTGAAGTTCCCATGGACTAGATTGGAGTTGTAGGAAGAGCTCATGGGGAGGTGATCACAGCATCCCATCTAGACCAGAATAAGGAAGTGAGCATTTGTGTTTGGACCAGTATATGTGTATAATAGAAGCTCCAACTTTGCACTGTACAAAAGAACATGTAAGAGGGTTTATATATCTGAGAAATTTCATGAATAAAGCTTCAACATGTGGAAGCTTGTATTAAACTTTAGAGATGAAGTTGAAGCAGAAAAGATAGCTCTCTGTTTTCTTTTTCTTTTCTTTTTTTTGTATATTTTCATCCCACCAAGATCTTTTGTTCCTAAATCTTTCCGTACACTTGTTCCAAAACATTCCTAATCTTTAGATTATTAAAAATCTCAAAGTGTACTAATCTCAAGACATAAGTCAATAAATTTGGATGATTTGGGATTGAGGGTTGAAGAGATTTGGGAGATAGAGATGATCATCTACCCCTTAACACTATTGAATAAGCAGATACTGATGCCATTTTTGTTGAAAATACAAATTATATTAAAAAATGGGTCATGCTAGCGACATTCATGTGGATTGTCTTTAATATGAAGGAAATGCCAAAATAGTTTGATGCATTTTTACATATTTTTAAACACTTTTTACACAATTCCATACATGTTTAACACTATATCAATATTTACCTTTAAGAGTAGCCTAGTGGCATGGGTTGAACATATGAGTTTCACTATAAAATAATTTTGAAGATTTTATATTCAACTCTCATGAATCATGAGATAAAACACTCGAGTTTAACTAACACATTGTTTGTGAGTGACTGTCATATCAAGACTTCGTTATCATAAAACCTTGCACTAGATGAGATGATGAACAAGTTGAAGCTTTATACAAATTCAATAAAAATCTACTAGTTGGGATTTCTCAAATGACAAATAAAAGAGAATTTTAATATATTATATTCATACTTTTTATATTGTTCAATAATACTTTCTATATCTAATAATTGTCCCGTCTAAATACTTTTGAATAGTTTTTTTCCATTGATCAAACTAATCAAAACTGTTCGTAAAATAAAAATTAGATGTAACTTGTAATTTTGTTGCATTTGTACCTACTTACTGGTAATAATTTTAAAGCCACACATAAACACTCTCAATGAGAATTTTTTGCCACGCTGGTTTACTTTTCAGAAAAAAATTTTAAAAATTAAAAATTAGTTTTGCAAAAAAAATAAAAAATTAAATGTACTTATCATTTTTATATGATTTTATATTTTTAGAAGGAAGAAATAATTTTTAAAAATTTAAAATATATACTTTATATTTATTTTTATCAAACTAATTTATATTTTTTTTTAAATTAAAAAATATCTTCGAAATTCAAAGCAAACTTTGTACCTTGTGTACCATCTTTTTCACATAAGTGGAAGTCTAGTGATTGTGAAAGAGATGGGCACATCATGATTTACATAAAGCTAATCAGGAAAGATCTCAACCATTGATACAAATGTATCTCTCATACATTTTTACACATTTTCAAAAACCTTCCTCCCTTATTATATAGATATATATATTATATACATTGCAAAAAAATCTAAACCGGTCCTCTATTCACTCTCTTTCCTCTCTCTCTTTCTCTCCGCCTTCGACACCGTCGCCTCCTCCAACGGGGTCGACGAGTGCTGTCGCGACTCCATTGTCGATCTCCACAACCCTGCCCACCTCTACCTCCTATTTCTCTCTCTCTTCCTCTCGCCGCCACAACACCACAGCAGATCACCACCATGTACGGCGCAATCGAGTCGCCACCTCACCGAACTCCCAATCCCTACAGACTGGATCAACTCGGACAATTTTGAGCTCGCTTCTAGGGTTTTCAGCCTCCTCTCTTCAAATGGTGTCTTGATGTCTTTGATTTCGACTATCGATCATTTTTCCTTGATGAAGTACGTGTTTCTAATTGAGCAATTGCCTGAGTGGGTTAAGTTTTTGCTTCAGAACGAGCGAGACTCCCATCGTCACCACGACAGAGCTACGGATCTAGATTTCTTCATTAGCATCATTGATATATATAGATATAGATATACATTTTTGTTTGATGTCTCGCTATCTCTCTCTCTAGATTTGAGTTTTGTAGTAGTTGTTTTTGTTATTGTTAATGTTGATAATGATGATGAAACTTAGGTGATGCTTTGGCTTTTTTTTTTTTTTTTTCTTCTTCTTCTTCACTGTCAGCTCATTAGAGCTGGTTTTAGAACTCATTGCTTAGAACTCTCTATCATTTCTGTTTGGTTCATAATATCCAACATTGATGCAATAAAAAGAAATTCAAAAACTCTCTAGGCATCAAGGTTGGTATTATATTTATGATGTCACTTGGAAAAAAAAATAAAATTTAGACAAAAATTGCAAATGTGTGAAGCATTTAAGCCATATTTATATTTTGTGTGATAAATAAATCATCTTAATCTTAAATTATATCTTAATAGCGACAAACCATGATATTAAGCCATCTGGATAGATGTTAACAATAATTAATCCACAAAATTTCACAATAAAATTTGATATGCATAAAAAATTATTAATTATAAAAACTATTGAGAATAATAGTATCATAATCACTTAATAACATAAATAACTTGTATCAAACTAAACAAAACATTAAAAGAGAGAAATTCTATAAGCTCATAAAAGTTATCATAAATTTACTTGGACTTTTAAATCAGTGGTGTATGTTATTATTGTGGGATCAAATTATGAATATCAACTTTTAATTATAATTTATAAGTAGTTTCTTAAAAAATTTAATCTAAGTTTGTTGCCTTGCTTATAAAAAGAACTTCTCAAACAAATCATTAATTGATTATATTAGCAACTCTCTATCTTTGATTTCCTCTATCAATGACACACGCATATCATATCAAAGTATAAATGCTTCTCCATAGTTTGAAGAATACTTGCATAGATCCAACGTCATTTTAAAAAAATTAATCAAGATAAGAATTTCATAGTATTATAAAAATTATATAAGAGAATAGTTTTAATCTATCTTATTTATAAAAAAAAATGATGAAAAATTATTTGAATTGTACTTGAAGAAATATAACAAATGACAGCTTTAATCATTATATACCCAAAAAAAAAATTATATCTGTGGGAAAAAATGGTCGAATACAAATAAAGTCATGGACATTGAATTAAATCATATGAGCTCTAAATTGATAGTATAATATGGCAAGTCAACTAAAGTAACATAGAGATATTAACAAACATGTAGTACTTCCTTATCATCTTTGTATTATATTCATTAATTTCATATATTATATGAAAGTTTTATTCGTTTCGATAAGGACCAAGAAAACAAATTTGATAAGAAATTGATTCTAAACTTAATTATTGAAAAAACAAAAATTTCAAAGAGAGAATTTAGAGATGGGATTGGAGAAATACTATAACGAATGACAGCCTTAAAAAAAAAAAATAAATAAAATAACAATGATCTGCTGCAATTTATTTTTAATAACTAATAGAAAGAATATCAAATTATTATCTTTTATAAATATAGTGAAGAAAATTAATTTTGTGAGATTTTTGTGTTGCCTTCTCCCATGTAGTCTTTATTATTTCATTATTAATACTCTTCTCATTTAGAGCGAACCAATTTCATTATTAATACTTTTCTCATTCAGAGTCAATAATTTTTTTTTTTATAATCTTTATCACTTGGTAGATAATAACGAATAATAAAAATTATCTAAAGAAGGTTAAGAATTTAATAGAAGATAAGAAGTTATAGATAAAGACAATTCATAAGATAAAAATTTTAAAATAAAAAAAGATAATATGTGATAGGAGAAAAAAAATATGAGCAAATGAAAATAAAGATTTAGATATATATGTTTTTGATAGATATATAGATTAACAAATCATATCTTTATCTAAATTTTATTATTTTACTTTTTTTGTAAATCAATTATTTAATCTTTATCTTTATTTGTAGGCCATGAAATTAATTTTTATAAGTTATTTATCAACTTTTATTTGCTTATTTATGGGAAGAAGTTTTAAATTACCTATAAGTTATGAAATTAATTGTTTATTTTTTTATCTTTATCTGTAGATTATAAAATTAATTTTCAATTTTTATATGTTTATCTACATAGAGGAATTTTGAAATTCAAATCTTTATCCATAAGTAATGAAATTAATTTTAATTTTAATTAATCAAACAAATAAAAAATGAAGAAAAATAGAAAACATGAAAGGCAATCAAAGAAGGTTGCCACGTAGGAAAGAGAGTGTTTTAAAATTATGATAAATTAAGAATAAATATTTGGAGGCTTTTGAGAAAACAACTACATTTGGTTATATATATAGTATATTTTTCATGTACCAAAATTGCACCCAAAAAAAAAAAAAAAGTGAGAAAATTACTAGTGTGTATCATTTTAATAAAGAATTTCCCACCAAACTAAAAAGCTCTTTTTTATTTGAGAATTTTAGAGTAATAACTTGGCCATTTAGCATTCATTATATTTTTTTTTGCTTAAAATTTTATCTTTGGAGGATATTTTGGTGATGGGTTCACACAGTTTTGTGATTTCTATATTTTCTTGTGATATTTATTTTTTTGTATCTTTATGCAATTCTAATGCATTTTTCTCTTTTACATTTGATATTATTTTATTTATTTATTTTTTGATGAGAAACTTGAATAATTGAGTCTTTTATTTTTGAGGACGTTACAGATGGGCTGCGAGAACTTGGCCCGGGTAGGAATTGGGCCAAGTGTGTGCCGCCCCGGACCGTAAAGAAGCTCGGCAAGGCAGTGCTCGGTTGGACCGAGCTGCTTGATCAGGGGATGGCTGAAGCCAGATAAGCTGAGCGACCGGCGCCCGGAAAGGCGTGGTCAACTGAGGAAACCGTTTGATCGGCAGTAAGGCCGACCACAGGAGGTGCCCCGGGCTTGGCTTTGCCGAGATGCCGCCTAGCCCGGTCCTCCCTGGGCCTAGCCAGTGAAGCGCTTGGGTATGAAGCACAGCACGGCCGTGGATAGAGCAGCTCGGCTGCCGAGCTCCAGCTGAGAAGGCAGGCAGTTGTGATTAGGTGATGATCGGCAAGGTTTATGCTGACAGATGGGATAGCGGAGCCACGTGTCAGGAGATGACTGGGAGTGGATATGGGGCGCAGAGGGTATATAAGTATGTCTGCGCCCCCCATACGTGACGGATGAACACTTTGTAAGGAATTTCTTACACTCAAACACCTCTCCCTCTCTCTCTCTATTCTAAGGTGTGTGCTAACTTGATCGTCGGAGGATTTTTCCGG